TTCCTTCAGTTGATGTAATTCTGACACAGGATTATACTCCACTTGGAACACATATACTTTTATCTTGGCAAAATTTCAGAATGCAATCAATCATTAGTTTGGATTTCAAAGAAAGCATGCCACATGATCTCTTTAAACTGGACTGTGCAATAATTGACAGATATAAGGCTTAAGTTTTTGTTTGATGTTTTCTAAAAAGGTTGTCTAGACTTGGTTCCCACAGGTGATCATCTTCCTTTGGTCATTTAGGGCACCTCAAAATTGACTGTTCAGGAATATAGGTTTCCCTTGGTATATTTCTTAAATCAGGAAGGACCAATCTGTGGAGAAAGATATCATACTTGGTAAAGTGGATGGTCAGCAAAAAAGAAGAAAACCTTCAACAAAATATATTGACACAGTAGTTGCAACAATGAGTTTAAGCATAGCAACAGTTGTGCGGATGGCATATGATGAGGCAGTATTTGGTCCTGTTGTAATGAAGTCACTGTGAGTTGAGAGTGACTCAACAGCACCTAACAACTACATATTTCTTAATCTTTGTAAATTAACAACAATTCAAACCACATTTCCAAATCCTACACTATTTCCTTTATAAAAGATTGTGTTGAGTGAGTGAATTTATGTAGTCTTGTAATAAAAGCATCCTAAAGCATGATGCTGGATGCCATGAAGGGTGTGGAAAGCAGTGGGGAAGATAACTTCCTAAGTGAGGAGTGTGAATTTGACATTTCTAGAGAACAACATTTATAAAGACCAACAACTCAAGTAACAGCAGTTTTTCTTAACTCTGTTACCAGTTCTACATTTAGTAGTTGTTTGCTTCATAGGAAAACAATATTAATGATAATCATATCTGTTACTGTTGAAATATTTCTACCTATTCTTTCTCTGGGTATATAGCTGTATATACCCTCTCTCATACTCTGTTCACTCAGTTGCTTTTCAAATCATCAAATTGATCTGATAATACCTGATCTCACTTAAAAGAAGGAAGGGTAGGGTTCAATTAACAATGTTGAAATTAGATAATTGTTGATCTTTTATTCTCCCTCCTCTGAAACGCAGGAGGGGGCACTATGAATCAGAACCGGCAGTGAGCTGTTTTCTCTCTCTCTCTCTCTCTCTTCTCTCTCTTTTTAAGCTTCATTGTACCTAGCTTCTTTGAGCTATTCGCTTTTTTTTTTTTTTTTTTTTGGAATTAAAGTGGTCTCTCTATAAGCATATAAAGTAAACACTCAAAATAAACCTTATATTCCAATTTCATAGAGTTTTGATTATTTTTATCATATCTATTGTCTGTTACAAGGAGATCTGGTGGCACAATGCCTAAGGCATGTGACTGCTAACAGAAGGTTGGAGATTCAAACCTACCAGCCACTCTTTGGAAGGAAAATGGAACAATACTTCTGCAAAGATTTACTGCCTTGGAAACTCAATGGGGTCACTAGAAATTGGAATTGACTCCATGGCAGTTTTTTGTTTTGTTTTGGTTTTGGTTTTGGTTATTGTCTGTTATGTATCTTTATTGACAGTAATCGATTCAACTTATAGTAACCCTTCTTGGGTTTTAGGCGGTATCTCTGCAGAAGTAGATTACCCAATCTTTCTTCCTCTTCAAATAGTTTGGTAAATAACTCAATTCTGTTTTATTATATGCTTCTAATTTTC